AGTTCGTAGGAGGCAGACGCCAGTTCACGAGATAGCTCATGCCGCCTCGTGCTCTGCTCGCGCAGACCTCTAGCAGGGTTGTCGCGTGTGCAGAAAGACTACAGCTCCCACGATGCATGTCGGCAGCGGTGGCGTACTCAGACTAGCTGTGGGATCGGTCTATTGAATGTCCCTGGGCACTGCAAAAAACAATGAACGATTTTATTTTTATTGTTATTATTGAACTATGCCAGCGTGAAATCCAGTGATTCTTCCTTAACTCTGCAGTAAATACTAGTTGATTGATTGATTGATTGATTGAGCTTTATTTTTGCTGGTCGTAATTTGAAATAGATGCCGATCGGATTTTCGGAGTAACAGATTTCGGTTGATTAGCCATAAATAAAAATAAAATGAATAAAAAAATATACTGTGGTTCATCAATTCATTTAATGTACGCTGAGCCTAGTTATATAAACTGAAGACGACATGCAGATATCTATCGCTTCCTTTTTTTTTCTAAATTATGCTGTTAAAAATAAAGCACATCCTTGACCCAATAACTGAGCACCGTTCCAACACCCTTCCAGCTCTCAGCACCCCTCACAATGAATCGGAAGGGTGCTCGCGCAAAAGCACCCTCGCGCTCGTCGTAAGGGGTGCTAACCCTGCAAGAAAAAGGGTGCTAGACGGCTAAGTGAAGGGTGCAAACCCCCTGCAGCACCCCTAAAGGGTGCTCTAGCACCCTTAAAGGGTGTAAAAAAGTTAAGTGTGTACGGGAGCCTGCGTGAATAGGCGACCGTTGGCGCGCGCAGCCGGCTCCCAGATGACGAAGCGAAAAGCTCCCTACGTGACCCCACGTCACGGGGCAGATCATAACGTACAGACGGCTTGCGCAGCGGGCTTATATCGTCGGGACTCAACGCAGCAGCCACCAGATAGCCCCAGAACAAGCGGAGCGATGCGTCGTATGCTCACGTCTCTGTTGAGAGCAGAATAGCGCTCCCAGTATTTGGTCGGAGTTGACAAAGCATCATTTCGTAATACAAATTAAAAAAAAAAAATGGGGGAATGTATTTTTGAAGTCGGAAATTGTACTTTCCTCGGAAAGTACCGGAAAAAAAATACTTCCAGTAAACTACAAGTACATACTCAGAGAATGTACTTCAAGTAAAGTACAAGTTTTCTAAACCTACTCGAAGTAGTACTTAAATTAAAATGTGCTTAAAGTACTTCCCAACACTGGTTTAACCACTACCAACCAGCCCAGCTCTCAAAATTTTGAGTACGGAATGTAGTTATGCAAGTTAGACATAGCGGGGTGTATTTGCCGCAGTTATATCAGCTTCCCTGCAGTGTACTCTCCCTCGTGCTTCGTAAACATCATTCGGGGCAACCTATTCGTGCGCTCTCCGCATCGTCCGCGAGTAAAGTCAAACAAATCTAGAACTCAACGGCGTTACCTCCGGTCTTCACGATTCCTTTTGTGAATGTACAGGGAACAATACGGGTGACAACACTCCATCAGTCCTTCTGCCATGACCGCGGTCTCCCCAGTCACCATGATCTCTAGATCTCTTACAGCTAAGAGACTCGAAGCGAAAGATTAAGTTCTAGCCCTTGTTTGTACCAGAGGTTCCCTCTCATACAGTGTTGGCGGTAACGCGTTCCAAGTAACGGGGTTACAGCTAACGCGTTACTTTTGTCAATAACGTAGTAACGCTGCTTGCTTGATCCCACTAGCTCGTACCGTCGGCTCCGTCTGGACTTAAGCTGAAAAGAAGTATAGGAACCAAGTAATTAATTATTGCACTCGTTCAACATACCTTCAAAATTTGGCCTGTCTTTTCCCCACGCAAAAAGTCCCGCTTTAGAAAAACCTTAACGCCCACGGCCACGGCCAGTGTCGAAAAAAGTTGTCGCAAAAAAAAACACCTGTTACCGTCAATTTATCAATAAAAAGTAACGTGCGTTACACCTTCTCGGTAACGCCAACGGTAACGCGTTTCTTTTATGAAGGAGTTTTCTTAGACAGCGTTTCCCCCTCCGCTAAGCCCTCCGCAGCGAAGGAGCCGCAACTGCGCCTGAGCGTCGATGGCCTTGACCGCAGAGTTCCGGGTACCGTAGCGGGTTGCGGAGAGCGTTGCGGGACGGCGAAAGGGGTCTACGAAAACTCCCCATTTCGAGGTAACGTAGGTCGGTAACGCGTTCCTTCTTTTTGCAAGTAACGAGTGACGTATTTTGTTACTTCTTTTATTCTGTAACGCCTCCCACACTGCTTTCATATATCTTTCGACTACAGGTTTCTTCGATGTAAATACATTCTTTGACCTACTTTCGTTTTGCCCGGTGGTTTTGTTCGGTGGTGTCGTGGTCAGCACACACCGCCTTTAAGGGACGGCCTTTGTAGGAGAAATCTAACCAGACACGTACACGTTATGATAACAAGAAAAGCCTGTACTCGTTACTCGATGAAAAAGTAACGAAAAAAAAATAACTTGTCGTGATCATTTTGACGAACCTGAGGAGCACATTTGTTGTGCGTGCATTATATGTGCGTTCTGTTCTTTCGTGTTTGGTTACGGGGAGATACGGGCGGTTTTCGGCTGAGTCACACACACAACACACTCATGTGCTCACCGGGTCTAGCAGAACGATCGAGATCATTTTTAATTTATCCGTAAAGGAGTCGCGAGGGACCCCCTCGCCGGGTGGTCCTCCTTCCACGACCGCGCGGGGGTGTGGGGAAGAGGGGAAGCGGACGCACCCTGGCTGTCGTTGTTTTCTTTACTTTCGACCGCGGTCCTCTCGAGCAGGCACCCCGCGGCGAAGACGTTGTCTCTTCCGCGAAGGGGACGTTTTGTTTTGTGTGTGCGCGTGTTTTCTTGTGTGTGCTCCAGCGTCCCACAGGGTACGCTTGTGACGATCGAGTTTTGGGCCAGGAGCTCTGGTGTGGCGCCCCTCTGTCTGGAACCCAAGGCTGTGCCAATGTTACGGAGCTGTCAGCCGTGGCCGTTGCAAACTTGATGTACGGCCGGGTCGGCCCCCAGCTGACCATTGGAGGGCTGACGCCACGTGACTTCGAAAGAGTTTGAAACCATTGGTTAAAACTTCCCTGAGGGCGAGGGGGTGAGTGCCTTCCAAAGCCCCGGAGGGGCGAGGGAGGTCGATTTTGGACTGATTTGGACATCGTAAGACCTGTTCGATCCGAAAAATCCCAACGTCCCCTACTTTGTACAAACGTACATAGTTTGTAAACTAAATTGGTTCGCCAAAGAACTCGCAATGTCTCCATCGCCTTTCGAGAACTTCAACGACCATCAGTCGTTCGTTGTTGGTACTTTGGGTCTGCCAAGTTTGGCAGGCTGATAATCGTTTAAAAAGCCGCCAAAGAATAATAATTAAAAAAAACACTGAGCAACCCTGAATAATAAAAACAATATATATATATATATATATATATATATATATATATATATATATATATATATATATATATATAGGGCTCCGTGTTTTCGGAGTTTATTTTTCGTGAAAATCGGAGAGTGTTTTTCGGAGTTTATTTTTTAGCGAAAATTCGGTGTTTATGGCAGTTTATTTTTCGTAAATCCCCTATTCTCCGAAATTCGGAGATTAATTTCGCTGTGTTTCCTACTAAAAATTATAAATAATAACCTGATGCAAACGAATGCCAGATAGAAAATAAAACGCACTTGTATCAATTAAGATTTCTTCAGCTGAATTTGGCGTTGTTGTCATTGGCAATACTCATTTGTCCCACGACAAAATCGCACAAAAGTGTGGCTTCGATAAACGTCGATACCCCTTAAAATCAATAAACTGCCGGAGGTAGCCGCAAGGAAGCTCGTAGTCATCCCATCAATCTATCCCGCGGCCGCGCGAGGTCGAGTAATTAAGGATGTAATAGAGAAGTTTCAACTGCCCCTCTTTCCTATTTTATACAATCTCTATGATCCATAGCTTTCACTGTTCCAGAAACATACCCTCTCGTTTCGCAAAATCCCAAATCCCATGGCCCAAACTGGAAACCAAAAGCGTGGCTTTTGTCGTGACACGAATGGTACGATGACCTGTATCCCTGAACGAACCTTGACGAGACAAGCCATAAGACCCCCTTTTGACAACGGTGCGAGGCTTGAAAGATAATTATGGTGTCACTTTCCCAGGACCATTGATTCTGCGCTGCTCAGATTGTAATATATATATATATATATATATATATTTATTTATTTTTTTTTTGAGGGGGGGTTGGCATGGGCACACAACAATTCGGAGTTTATCGGATAAATCCGAATTGACAAAAATTTTACCGGCGGGTGTTTTTCGCAGTTTTTAGGATTTATCCGAAAACACGGAGCCCTGTATACATATATGTTCAGTACAGACCAATACCGGGAACAGCGGGCCCGGCCGAAGGAGGAAGGACACACTGAAATCTTGACAACACCCACTTCAGGGCCTCAACCGTCTACTTCTCCTTACTAGGATTTCATCATAAAGACAAATGGGATGAAGATTTTTTTTTTTTTTTTTCACCTTCGGTTCACCGGCGAAAGTCCCAAAACGTGGAGCAGAGACGCGATCGATGACGAGAGTGCCGAAAGCGCCGAGCGCGCCCCCCCGAAGTCGACTCAGTGGAGGCAGACACGCGCGTGCGACCCCTAGCCCTTTAGTTCTACGTTCCGATTTGAGGAGTTCGTGTCTCAGACACAACACTTAAAATTTTTAAAGCAAAAATTATGAAGGTCCTACGTATCACTAGGGCCGAAAGGATAGAATCAAACCAGACAGGTGTTTCAAACGTGCATCCCTTCTCTTTTCTTTCTTGCCAAGTCACCGAGAATGCAGACTCTGGGAAGGGAGCGTCGGGTGCGGTGAGTCGTAACGGTTGCGTCTCAATCCGGTTCAGGCCTCAATTTGGCTATTTCTTCAATTCGGCTAGAAGTTCCAATTCGGCTACATCCTCAAGTCGGCTAAAATTTCAATTTGGCTGAACGTACCTTGAGGCTGGGCGCCAGGGCGTACTTGGTGCGGAGGAACTTCCGCAGGTGGTTCACGGTAAAGGCGGCGGGACAGCTGAGAAACCGTCGCTGCCTCCGGTCTTCCTTGCCCTAGAGGAAAAGAGGGGCAGTCAGCAACACCTCCCAGATGACAAGCTCGTCGTGCTGATCCAATTACCATGCGGAGAAAGCTCGAGGGGCGTCGTTCGTCCGGAAGGGGACTCGGCGCTCTCGCCCCTTCCGCCACCCAGATTAGTCGCACAGGAGGCAGGAGAGCCAGCACAACTCCCTGTTCGGACGCCAACTGTAGTTTGAGCCACGGCAACCCGATCCCCTCCGAGGGGATCGAGGGACCATGTTCAAGCTATCAGCGCTGTGTGAATATATAGGGCCAGGGCCTGCCCGAAAGTCTTCTGTGTCAAATGGCTGGCACTAGCGTTCAATTAGCGACAATGCAGGTCCCAGCCGAAAGGTGACGCGGCATCCATACCCAATATGCCCCCGCGCTGGCCCCTTGCAGGTGACGTAGCAAACCCGGCGCTCCGGCCTCGCTATCCCCGAGGTGTTGGTTCGGCGACGAAAGAGGCAAAGGTTAACCGCAAGCTCCTCGCAGCCGGCAGCGACCGCCGACTCACGGGTGACTTCCTCTACGGCCGCCAAAGATTTGTATCGCACCGCACCGCCACCGCACAAGCGTTTTCCGCTGGGCGCTTTCCCTTTCCTCTCGTCGGTCGGGTCGACCACGTGACGAGGTAATCACGCCGGCCTCTGCTCTTTTTGCCTTTGCGAGTTCTTCTCTTTATCGTCCCTTGTATGGCGGAGAGCTGTCTCGCGGTCGTTTTTCTTTCTATCGTTTCTTCTTTCTTTCGTAACTCTTAAAATAGTGCGCGAAGCTGCGGAGGAGCGTCGTTGAGGAGAGGAAGAACGGGGAGCAGGTGCGAGGGCATTTATGGAGAACGCCTAATTAACGGGGCTGTCCTCACAAAACGAGCCTCCGTCCTCCCTTCGCTGCTCGGCTTTCTCGTCATTATTTTATCATTTTTTTTTTATTTTGTAAGTACAGAGTTTTGTTTGCTTAGGCGCTTGCGTCCAGATTGTAACGCTGTTGGCCGGACGGCGAGAGTGTGCGTTCTTGAAATGGGCTCGCAGCAATCGAACGCGGCGACCGCGGACGAGAGGATGAGGAAACACATTCCCCTTGGGAGGTTACGGGTCGCGTGACTTGTGACCACTGACGCTCGGCTACAGTACTATTGGTCGACAGGATTGCTATCATGACGTCGCTCGCGCGAACTGCCGCGCCGACTCAGCAGCCCCATTGATGCCCTCGCAAAAAGCGTAACGCAAACGCCAAAAAAACAAACACAAAAAAACACGATTTTTTTTGTTTGTTTGTTAGAAAGCATTGATGGACACTTTTTTTAGCGACTTCTATGGACACCGTGTAAACGCCAAAAGCATGGACTCTTAAACGGGCTCTTATATATACTTCTTGAAAATTAAAACAGCGCAGGGACAAAGACAAGAAAAGGAAGCTAGACGAAAGAGGCAAGAAGGTAGACGATCATGATGTAGAAAACCCGAGACTGTGGTCTCGGGTTTTCTACACCACAACCTAACTAACCACCGACCTTGTTACGTCGGTGGTCGGTGGTTAGGTTTTGGATATATCAGACATTGAGGAAATCAACGCAGTAGCTGAGTTTGAGACGTTCTTTTCCCCTGTCTTCCTTCTCCGACCAAGTTTCCCTGCATTTACCACAATCTCGGGTTTTCTACATCATGATCAACATCCACCAGCTCGCCTGCGCACTCACTATTTTTTCAAGGTAGACGAACAAGGCAGCGCCTTGTTCGTCTACCTTCTTGTTCTAGTCCGTGTCCTTGGGCTGTTTTATTTTTAATCATGCAATACCAACTAGCCCGAACTTCTACTTTAGTCACCTTCATTCCTATTTACTCCTAGACATTAGTGACCCCGGTTCCAGTCGCGCGAGAAAGAAATATAGTAATCACCTGGATCCTGCGTATAGGGTCCGAAACGTACACAATGCGGACCTGTTATAGGGCGACATATTTTCCCGACGAATTTAGTGGATGGCAGTCACGTGACATGGCACCAACCTCGTGACTAATTCTATCATTTCCGTCGTGGTATCACGTGATATTGTGACATCACATAACGTCAAAGACCACCGTGTCAGATGACATGAACTCCTGTCAGTTGAGGCTCTGACATCACGTCGTCATGCGACACCAGCGTCAAGTTACGTGATCACGTGTCGCCATGACGTCGCGTGCCGTGACACGCAGCCCGTAGTAGCATCAACCGCGTGATCATCGCTAAGCCGTGTTATCATTTCATTGCACCTCTTCCTGACACCCTCCGCTTAACCCTGTAAACCATTCAGTACTAATTTAAAAACTAAAAAAAAAAGAAAAGCAGGCGTATTTTAATTCATTAATTAAACGACTACATGCTGAATTGCGTCTTCTGAGGAAGGCAGAGGACGGTAGCTCCAACCTTTAGGGAACGCGACGCCGTGTCTAGCGTTGCCACGTTCTTCTTTTGTACCGTCTCTTTGTTTGTTTTGTCATTGTGTTCGTAGTTTATCGTAGCTGGTGAAGTCGTCTCGAAGCGTTTCGGAGTCCTCTCTTCGGCTTCTTCTGCTTTATTCATTTCTTTTCGTCGTTATTTTTTCTTTTATTCCTTTCACCATTGTCAGGCCGACAAAGCTCATACTCGTGGACAACGCTCTGTGGCATTTCAAGAGAAGTGAAGAATGTCAGTGCACAGATTTGATAGCGGATCGGCGATCAAGGTACGCAAGCACTCATAGCTTCGAGTACATCCAGAGAAAGTCGTCTGCGAGCGTAGTGCAACTGCTTGGCAGCAGGCCAACTAGTCAAACTCTCTTCGACGTTGCTGACACGCTTAATTAGCACTCTCTCGAGGCTAAGCCGGAGTTAGTCTTTGCAAAAATGCAATTCTAAGTAAAAGAAAAAAAAAAAAAACGGCGCGTGCGTGCCTGGACGAACGTAAGCTTCTCGATACTCTATCGCATTTGTCACCAATGGCGGATCTGTGTGTTTTTTTTTGCGTGTTTTTTTAGACTATGGGGGTCAGGAAGAGTGAATCCATGAAACAACAGAGTAGCCACGTCTTACTTTCCCTGGTCGCTCTGTAGCATTGTCCACACATACGCGCAGGGCTCGCGCAGAGGAGACGCCGTTAAGCGTGTGCTTCGCCACATAGAAAGATCTGCGCGGATTTCTGACGCTGCATCCTTCTCTGCGTACCGTCGCCAAGAACCCTGAAGCCAAAGGACCCAAGAATAGAGCGTCTCTCGAGCGTCACAGTCCGTTGCGCAATCTTGGCTCAGCGCTTTACGTCCTCAGAACTGGCAGGCGGTACGTGTCGTGTGTTCATAAACCCGTGGCTCGTCTTCTTTAAATTATATGGAAGGACCTGCGTTGTTTGAAGTTTTATTTCCCCGGACAATGCCACGCGAACCCTATTATTTTAGCCGCTCGCTTAAAACACCATTTGCATCGCGGAGCATTTCGTGGATTTCCGCTTGGCAGGCACTCCGCGCTGTTTCACTTTCAGCTTTCTTGGTTTATTATTTCTGGCACGTTTCTCGCTTACTTTATTCATTTCACGTGTACAGATGAGTCGCCTCTCGAGAGAAACAGAACAAGCAACTCTGCTCAGCGTGAAGGATTTCGTTCGGGGGTATCCACAAATCGAAGTTAATTCTCTTTTAACAATTTCGTTACTCAATATCAAAACCTGTGACCTGCAGCACTTTGCATAAAATCAGTAATTGTCAGTGCACGGCACGATCTTATAAGATAATACGGGAGAAACGAAATTCACCTATTGGAAGTTGGAACCCATTCTGCACAGAACACGTTTATTTTTTAAAACCTTTAAAATTCATCTCGTCAATTTTTGGCTGATCACATTATACCAGCTAAAAAAAACTATATATACATAAAAAAGTTATTCAAATTTAGGTCTGTACTCATTCATTTTTGTGACGCCAAACTCAGGCCTCGGCGTCTGCCGCGGTAGAGAATGTCATCCACCATTCGTTCTTTATCCCAACTGTCCTCACTTTAATTAATTTCAGCATAAACAAACACACCCCGTACCAGGCTGATATGTACAAGTCTTGCGAAGTTCGACATAAGAACACTTGCGAAGTTTGACATAACAGCGCTCTTTTTTTCGTAAAAAAGGGTGAACACTCTTTCTTCTTTTTGCTGCGGGAGTTTGTAGACTTCGATTGAAAATCAAGCGATATCGGTATTGTCGACAAGATGCACGATGGCTGATTCTACGCACGCGCTACACAGAGGCTTGCAACCGCGATGACTCAGCGCAGCTGTCTTCCACCCGCGCTGCTAGCTATGAACAGGGTCTTGTTCCCGCCTCAATTTGCGTCGGTCAAGTACTTACAATGCCAACTGCAGCTGAATGAGCCCGTATTACAATACCACCGTTGTCCGGCGGTTCCTTGTGATAGGGCTGCGTTCTGTCACTTCTGTGCTGGTGCCAGATAAATATTCAGGAAGGATAATTCTATGACAGGAAAGCGCAAGAAATGGAGATCGTAAAAAACAGTTCGAGGTATACGCGTTTCTTTCTAAAGATTACGAGCAAGGATATAGAGACGGACAACCAAGTATCGAGAAAACGTTATGAACTGGCGCTTCCATATCCTGTTAGACAGACGAAGATGTGACAGATGTGATGTGCACAAAAACAAACGGTGACCTGAGAAGATGTTCAGCAAATCCTCACTTGATTTGAAAGATATGGTCTCAGCTATCGCGAAAACAGCAGCACTACTACCACCGCCGTCTGTAGACTCGCGATTGCAATGCTCCGCGAGCTGCATAATAGACCGAACCACCGATCAACAGAGCTTAGAACCAGAACTAGAGTCAGAGAGGCGCAAGAGTGGTGAGCGTCAACTCACCGCGCCATCAGCAGGGTCGGCAACGCCCTCTTTGCCGTCGTCTTCCGGTTCAAGGGTCTCCGTCGGGCTGCACAAGCGGGAGGCGCCACGTGACAACCGGGACGCAGGAATACAGCCCCAAAATGATCACACCCAATGAGAAGGTAGCTTTTGGGAAGGACACGACCGCTTTAATCGCATTTTGCAAGCCTCTCAGTCAGAATAGCATAACCCGGGATCCATCTTAAACCAGGGATCCATGTTAAAGGGGCCCTAAGGAGGCTTCTGAGATCGCCTAAATATGGCGATAACTCACAGTCCGGGCTCTGAGCATCCTAGAAAATCCCAAATCACGAACATGTGGGGCCAATTTCCCTAATAAAAAAAAATCAATCAAAGATCGCAACCCACGGAGTTCATCTCGGATGACGGGAGGAACACATGCGCTTCAGCAGCAGGACGATATGTGACCAATGGAAACGCGACCTTTCGTGGAGATTGCAAACGTTGTTATTACAAAATGTGTATTCTTTTGAGGCTGGTAAGAGCAAATAAGAGCGTGAGACAAATGTTAACTTCTTGCGAAGAGGGAACCTAATACTGGAGTAATCGTTTCAAAAACAGCGTGCGATGTTTATTTTTCATATTCTGCGGGAGTGATATGTTCGGTCGTCAACTGGCCTGCTATCGAGCGCGCGATCGCTGGGCTAAATCATCGTTGCCAGGTTAGTGAGAGTCATGGCAAGATCAAGTGTGCCTGCGATGGTACACGATTGATATTGTCTGCCACGACAGTACAACCGACTGACTAAAGAAACTGGCCGAAATCCGGGTGTTCGGGCAACCAACGTCCCTAGATGAACGCTGCGAGGTAACGAAAAGTCCTCCTCCCCCGCCCTAACTCGTCCACTAGAGCCACTAAATGAGTTAAGATTAGAGTACCGGAACTTTCCCCCCCGATACTGTCGTGGGCGCCGCCACACTGTTAGCAAAAATAACACGCCCAGACGTGTAAACCGTTGTCCCATAGCGGACACGTCGAAACGTGTTCGTTTTACACGAGGCCATCTGTGTTTTTCGTCTACACATGAGGTGCTGTGTAAACTTAACACGCTACACCGTGTCTGCCTTCCGCAAAACCGATTCGAGCGTGTTCCTTATGAAACATGGCGGCCAGCGACCGAGAACAGGCGAGAGACGAGCCCAGCGAGCCGCGCGCCTTTCAGCCGAATTGAAAGCACACAGGGCGCGTTAGTTCTCTTTCGATGTCTTTTATACACAGTAAAGTCTTCAAGCGGCGGACGTAGCTACTTGCAAAGGTACGTACGTGCGTTGTCGGCGGTCGGCGGCGCCGGTAGATTCAACAAACCGCTAGACACAAAAAAAAACAAAAAAAAAAAAAAACGAATGCCGAACTTACATGGATAAATAGCAAACTATTTAGAATCGGGCGGTAACTTGCGCCACCTATCGAGATTTCTAGCAGCCTGTATTTAAAAGAAAACCAGTCTGTTAACAAGTTAACACTGCGAACGACCACGACTACACAGCAACCCTACATACAACGCAGGCAACACCAGTACCACGTACTACACAGCACCGACATGTACACAAACACAGTCCCGACACTTCCTACTCGATATCCATTTCTCCCCGCGGCGCATATAAGCTTGACATGTGCGGGTGACCTCTTTGGTCGCTGACCATTACAGATTTATAGAAGAATACACAAAACACGGCGCAATGGACAGCCGTGTGTTAGAACTGTTTGCATTTAAAAAGTATAGAGGCAAAATCTATAATGTTAGTCCGTTGCAATAAATAACGATATGTGAACAATAAATCTTAAACCGGTCATGAAAAAGTTCAAATTTTTGTTATTTTTTTGCTTGACCAGTGTTATGAGCAGTCCGACTAGCTTGAATCAGATAGGAAAACAAATTATTGGGATTTTGTCATTGCGTATACAAAAATAAATGAAAATGATCCTTGCGCAAAGCATTTTTTATATATTTTTGTGAAGGACATCCGGACATCCGCCCAACACTTCACTTCCGCTAGTTGCAGCAGTTGCAGTACGGGAGCAGGCGCCTTCACTTTTGGGGCGTTTTGATGCAGTTTGTTGTCGTATGTCGTGTCGGTGTCGAGAAGAGCGATGGGGCATGGGAGTTTGTGACCGGTGTTATTCGTGAACACTGGTGTGGGGCGCTGATGCGTCTTTTTTTTATACTGCCACCACCCCGAACTTTGAAGACACGCGGGCCCGTAGCAGTGCATTATGCTGAATCGCGAGCTCCTTCTCTGTTGACGTCGCTTTCCTGGTACCACACGTGGATACTGCAAGCGTTTAAACAGTGTGCACCGTCTCGCCTACATCCCCGGTGACGTACTCGACCTGTTGAAACTTATTGCTTCCGTCATTTTAGAGTACGCAAGGCAGTTATCTCGTTGGTCTGGTTTCGGTTATAAGAGCAAGGCAAAACGCTCGTAGTTCCCGCCCTCAGTACACGTTGAACATCTTCCACACTTTGACACCAGATAACTGAATGAACGAGGATTTACATTCACTTCCGAGGTTACTTTCGCCGCTTCCTCACCTTTGAGCAGCAGGATGAGCTGGCGACAAGCCGCGGATGAAAGGCTTGAGCATCAACAACCCAAGCGCACTCGGTGCCGATGCGGGCGACTCGGGTTTCTGTCAACCGGGAGGCCAGCACAAACCGTGACCATTCCAGCTCTTCGTCATGACACGGTGTTGCAGAGAGCAGGGTAAAATACAGCTACACGGATCACCGAAGCAAACGACTGCTATCTTAAATCTTGTCTTGTGATTGCGCCTTTGTAGTAGATCATCTTATTCGTTCTGCCGGAGAGACGCAAACGATGGGCATAACAAAATCGCTTGCACATTCCGCATATCTCACAAAAGCATTTACCCTGTCACCTTGCGAAAAGCGCGAAACACGGAGTCCGCACCGTCCTAAGCTTCCCGTTTTTTACCTGCTTTAGAGCAGTTTGTCCCTGCTAGTAGATATGCCTACTGGAACTGAAACAGGGCAGTGCCAGAGAGAAAGAGACAAAGTTGAGAAAGCTTGCTCGCTCTCCAATTTCTCAACTCTCAAGTGATTGTACCATAACAAATGCACCAACGCGTCTTCCAAAATAAAGAAAGAGCTCTACGTTCACAACATAAAAAAATGGTCTCAGTACCAGACATGTACAAATTACTCAAAAATGGTAGTTAAGTTAAGTTACTGAGTATCGACGCCAAAAGTAATTGAAGTAGAGTAGAAATTACGCATTTGTAATAGTAACTGAGTAAACTACTAACTACTGTAAAAAGTAGCGAGTTACTTTGAAGTTACTTTCGAAGTTACTTTTTTATATTTTTGTGGTAGCAAAATGAACAGCAGTTTTGATCAATGAATAACCCTGCGAGTCTAAAATTAATACAGTCTATTTATGGCTTGCGTTTTCGCCAAAATAGTCTATTCGCTCGCAGAAGCAATTGACTTTCAAAGTTCTTGATAGGAGAATTTTCCCTTTTTCCTTTTAAAGACGTCACCAGCCAAGCTAAATAGACGTTCCACCGACGGGCTGGATGGAACGGCAGCATTGAATTTTAGAAACAGGCTGTGCAGGGTCGGGCAAGGAGGTGTCCGCATCTTAGGTGTCCGTGACGAATCATGTGAGGTTTGCCTCGGGTAGAGGGTCCTTTATAACAAACTCTCCTCCTTTTTTTCTTTTTTCTTCGTCAAGTTGAGATTGTTATGACTGGCCCCTCTTTATTCCGACGGCGTTCTGAGAGTACGCTGAGCGAGTGCACCAGACCGTCAAGGGTTCAAGTCTCGCGCCACGACGATGAGATCATCCGGACGACTGCGCGTCCCGTTGTAGTGCTAGTGATACGCTGCTGAAAAAAAAAATTGTTTTGGTTTAACAGAAGATGAACCGAAGTATACTTCGCCGCTGACGCCGGGTCCAACAAAAGGATCTCCCAAGGGTAACTCGCAATCCTCGCCGGCGACTACAATATTCTGACGCGCCTGACACGCCTGACAAGTAAATCGTTTTTAACAAAGAGGAGGTCTCTCCGGCATGGATGGTCGGAAGGACGCGAAGGATTACGTGAACAAGCATCGAAAAGCGAGAACGTGCTCCCATGAACGGATTATCCGTACCAGGGTTTGTGCGCGGGGGAGTCCGGCTTTTGCAAAGGCGTATGCGCTGACGACAAGGCGACCATGGGAACAGGCGCCCAGCTGCGAGGTCATTCCAGTGGCGCCTCCGGTGGAACCTACCGCTTGAGTCAGAACTCACTAAAGACAGACAACACGAAAACAACAACTCTAGGAGTGTCCCCGTTGCAGCTGGAAACGCGGCGCCTGCGTGCATTACCGGATTAGGTTAATACCCGACCAAGGCTTGTTAAGCGTCTCTTCCTGCGTTCGTGCGTGCCGGTGTTATGTTTTGGCTGCTCGTCGCCACCTTGGCCCAAGGACGCCTTCCCGAACAAGGGGGCCCCTTGTTCGGGAATGCCAGTTCATATGCCGGCGTCTTATTCATTTCTGCGCCCAAACTTTCGTGATGGGTAAAATTAGCACTATATAATTTCGTAAGTAGTTAGTAATTTGAGTAGAAGTTACCTGAAAAGAGTAGTTAAATTAAACTACTAATTACCCGAATCAAGTTGTAATTGAAAGTTACCAAGTTATTCGAAAAAGTAGTTAAACTACAGTAGTTTGAGTAGAGTAGTTGAACTACGTCCAAGTCTGCTCAGTACACGCATCTGTGGGCAGGTAGGAAATCTTGCCCTTATTTATTCACGCCGCATGATTGGCGCAACAAACTCGTTGCAGGACCGAATCATTTACTCGAGCGGTGTGCGTCGCTATGCAAACGCAGTCCAACACGAAGCATAAAAAACGGCAGATTTAAGACAACAATCCGGAGTCCATTATTCAATTAAAACAACGTAATTTTGTTGAAAACGCCCGCTGCTTCTTACTGACGGTATGTGTCGGGGTACTTCCACAGTTTGAAACGGAACGAAGGAAGATTTACTTTCAAAAACGCTCGCTGCGTCCTCCCGGACCAGCTGGACCGGATCAGCTGACGACGACGGGACGGTACCCGTTGAACCTCCACCACGCAACAAACAATTTGCGCTCCGTGTTAAAAGCGTGGTTCAAACAGACCCGGAATACAAAGCACCGCACCACACACGACGAATGTTTCAGCTCCTTTTCGCATCGCCGGGTTGCACCAAACAGAACGAGATCGCCGAAGTCAACGCCGCGCTGTCGTGAACCTTGGCTTGTGGTTGCGAACCCGTGGACCCTGTGACCCCTTCGCTTTCAAAGCACACACGACGATTACGAATGCTACTTTCCGTCTTCCAGGAACATCACAGAAGCACCTCTCCGGTCACGTCTTCACTATGTGCTCGCAAACTCCGAAGCTCTATGCGAAGCTTCTCGCGTCCCGTCAAACCAAAACAGTAGCGGCGCCATGCGTACTTGCCAGATTTTCTCCGGTCAAACAAAAACAACGAAAGCCAACCGGCGCTTGCTTCCAGCGTACATCGGCGTTGCGCTTGCGCCGTGGCCAGATCGCTTGCAGTTGAAGGTTGAAGCAAAAACGAAACCAACTGCAATGTCACGTGTTCACATCGAAGACACGCTTTTTATATCCGTTTTAACTGTTTGGAACGAATAATTAGACCCATAACTTTATTTGTGGTGTCTAAGAAACTGTTATCAGGACCCCTAAACTAAATACAAACATGGGCAACATGAGGGAAGCCGCATTGCCATCGACCAGAAGATGGCGGCGAGCACGGTAAGCGCGGATTTCGCCAACGTCCTGCGACATGGCGCAATTGCTTTTGATGCCTATCTGTCTCCGAGACATGTTTCTTTCCGCGGCATTTGTCTCGACGGTCCTTTCTAAGTGTGTCCCCAAGCATTCCGGTGCTTCGATAGCCGGCAATGCCGCGGTCGTCGCCGGGGGCGATGCGTGTTATCGAGGTCGGCTACACGGTTATGCGTGTATGACCGAACCAAAACACGTTTTTTACAACCTCGCATGATTTCTGAACGAATTATCCGTTACTCATCGTGTAAATTTATGGTAATTTGTGTAAATAGCGTGTTTTTCAGTCCAAATATTCGCCAAATACACGGGACTTGCTAACAGTGCATCTTAGTGCTTGAACAAAGCAGACGTAACTGCCGATCGACATGATTTAGAAGTGCGACTTCCTCAGCATTAGGTTCGATGTTAGGAAGCTCACGTAACATTCCTTTTCCCTGTCGCAAAGTGTTTAAACATTTGTAGAGGACGGAAGAGCGTTTCCTGTGATATCAGATAAAATTTAAGAGAACTGGGAATAACAATTTTAGGCCACAAGGTGGGTAAGTATACCTACTCTGAACCGCTTATTGAGTGGCACTATCGCCCAGCATGGCTGCGTTGGAAATCTTCCGAGGTACCCCGGCGGGTCATGTCACGTGACAATCCAGACATGATAACGTTGGGCGTGGGTAGGTTTTAGAACGCCAAGGAACCAAACCGCTACTCGAGAGTGAGGTCGAGTCGAATCCGCTGTGTTCTTCCAAACCGCAAAACGAAACGCGGGCACGGACCGGCGGTCGCTCTCTGCAAAACATTAATCGAGGGACCTTACAGACGACAAGCCGCGCGCATTCGAAACATCACTCGTCTGGTTCACCGGTCGGAGGCGGGAGGATTCTTCGCTTGGTTTCGGAACATGCTCCTCCCATGATCCCATCCCCTGAGATGAGCTCTGTGTGCTGCGATCTTTGATTGATTTTTTAATAGAGAAACCGGTCGCGTATCGTCATGGTTTGGATATTTCTAGCATGCTTAGAGCCAGCAGGGTGAGTTAGCGCCAGATTAAGGCGATCTGAGAAACCTACTCAGGGCCCATTTTAACAATATGCTGATTACCTTAAACGAACCTCTGAAATTAATCTCCCAATACTGATCGCTTCTACGGAACAAGAGCTAAAGAGCCGCAATATTGTCGAGTCAGCGAGGAAGTTGTCCGCGCCAGTCGGCGGAAGCTTACCAGGATACAAAATGAACCCCGCAACTCGAAAACAATTAGAAGGATCGCCAAAATTTGAAAAAAAAAATGGGTACAGAAAACGTCTCAAACGTTCTCTGTTCCCCTTTTTCTCGTACCTTTCACTTTTCGAAATTAAAATTTTCTCCCTACTGTATCTCAGCGTCCGACCAATTTTTAATTCGTGGGCTCGGTCATATCACCCAGGTGGATTTCGCTGATAAGCAGAACATTGCACCGATATCAAGAAATGGCGTTTAAGCAACGTCACATTTTCTGAGTGTCCACTTGACTAGATACTTACCAAAGAAGTTGAGCTTCCCCTCCATGATCATATATCAAAGGAAGCTGGTAACGAAACCCAAGGAAACAACCTGACTTCGTTGATTTGTTTTAAAAATTATTCATGTAATTGTCGAACAAAACAAAACGCCGTCCATAGTGACAGTACCACTCCAAGGCACTCCCTCTCCGCGTTCAGTTGAGTTTTACAAAAGAACGCCAATTTCTCGCTCCACGAACGTCACCTTTCCCAAGAAACCGCGAGTCGAAATACGCGGTACTCTGAGAGTTTGAGATCCCCGCAGAGTCCAGACGGCCGGGGTCGACGCATCACCTGGTGAAAGTGCATCGGAGGGGTCGTCTCGCGCCCATCCGCCCACTCACCCGGTGAAGTACTCGAGGGACACGCTCACGGTGTCTTGGGGGCTGAAGATGAGCCTGGTAGAGGCGTCCAGCACGCCGCGGTCCTCGAGGCAGGCCACTTTGACAGCTGCAGCGAAGGGGCAAAAGAGAAGGGGGTGTCAGGTCGCGATGGTGGCCGAGGCCCCCACGGCGCGCCAGAGCGGGAACACACCCGTCTTTCCCTTTCAACTGAACAATTAGTATCACCGTTTGTAATAATCGCGGAAGCTTTGTTCGCCAGATACGTGTGATACTGATATGAGTGGGCCAAAAACAGCTTGTCTGCTCAGCCTCCCTTTTCTACAGACACACACGTGAACACGACCACAGGCAGGAACGAGAGCCACAATCAGAATGAATTATGTAAGATTAACAAATTCATCATGTTTGCGGCTCTCGTTCCTGCCTGGATAGTGTTTACGTGTGTGTCTGTAGAAAAGGGAGGCTGAGCAGACAAGCTGTTTTTGACCTACTCATATCTGTATCAAACCTATCCTTTCTTTAAAATAAATAACAAAAAGTTTACGAATAAAAAATAAACAAAAACTTACTACACTATACTTTCACCGGCACGCGGCAAAAGCTATGTATAACCAACGCGAGCCACTCAGTGTGCCGGACTGGTGCACGTGGCAACACCCCGTAAAAGTAAAGTCCTGCTGCGGACAGGTCACGTGGTTCGCATCTTCGTTCTGGTTGGCTCACGCAAACTGTAGCTCTTGTTTTTGTTCTTTTTTTTTTCGTTTTTGACACGTTGCGCAGATAGCATTATAGCCAATCTATTTTGACAGCCCATACGCTGAAATCCAGCCAGTCTCCCTGCTATCACGAGGAAGGCTGCTTCCAAGTTCTCGTTGACGTCCACCAGCCCACCGCAAATACAGAGCAGCGAAGCTTCAGCGCCGGTGCATCCGACGATAGCCTACATTGCGCAGACCATACACAATACGACGGTTCTCACCTGCGTTGGGGTACTGGTCATAGAACTCCCGGCGCTGCTTCATCTCCCCTGGGAAAGAGAAAGAGGACGACCAACGCTCACGTCGACCCTAATCGATAAACAAACCAAAAAACTAGGAACGAGCAGCCACGACGACCTGGGCTGCTTGGTGGCGGGGAGCTATCGCGACACCTCGGGTAAGGCTCGTTTCGATCCGGTGTTCCCACCAGCGAAAAGGCAAAATACTGGAGTACAGATCGCTTACTTTGGTAGAGTCCCGGAACCACCTTGTAGACGATGTCCTGCAGGGTCTTGTCCACCCTGGGTGAGAAATCGGAAAGAGAGAGTCTCGAGGGGACAGAAAGGTAAGCAGGGCTGTGCGACCGGATGTCCCAGCGAGGAAGCGGAAACGATCACGCTCTACGCCACTCTAGCTGTCTTTCCGACAGACAGCGCCTACCTGAGGCAGCTGAGCGGCCTGGACTTGTGGACCGGCACGTCGCAGATGGGGCACAGCTTGCTGGTGTCCAGGTAGCGCACGATGCACACCTTGCAGACTGCAAGGGGGGAAGGACGACACGTCCCCATCAGTGCCTCCCACGAGAGAGGAAAAGGAAGGCACACTCACAGGAGTGGAGGCAGTCGACCAGCGTGG